AGGGCTTTTCTGTTGGACTTTCTGGAAACAAAAGAACAGCAGTGGGGCTCTTTTTGGTTCTCTGCGGGCTCGTTTTGACAGGTAACAAACAATAGTGCCATTTATATCCCAGAAATTAGATTTCCAAGTTAAATTTGATTCAAGTTTTAATTAATTTCTTTTCACTTGAAAAAAAAGATTCAAAAGGTCAAGTTTTGCAGTTTTACTCCGCTGCGTGTTTCTGCATGAATAGTTGAATTTCAGGTTGGACTTGAATTCATCTTTCTGCATTTTCGTCCCTTTTCTGGACTGTAAAGTCTAATTAAATAGATAATATTATTTATTTTAAAACTGAAGATTAATTTCTCTTGGTTTCTGTAGAAAGGATCAGAGTCCGAGCTGCCGAGTTGAATTTCAGTTTCAAGTTGAATTCTTCTGTTCGTGTTTTTGGAACGAAAGTGGTTATTTTTCGAGATCTAATTTATTTTAATTTAATGTAATTAAACAACAAGTTAATAATTCGTGGAAAGTAATTCAATTTGATTTAATTTAATGTAATGTTTCCACAAGGGTGAGGTGCATTGCTGAGTTCGGGTTGGTTAGAGCATCAAAGTTGAATTCAAGTTTCAATTTGAATTCACATTTGTTTCCACTCAGCTCCGGTTCCTCTTCAAAAGTCTGATTAATTAGTATTAATTTATCTTTAAATAGTTCAGTTTATCTTTTCTGCAAAGGTGTGGTGAATTGGATCAAATCAGAAAAGTTGAATTTCAACTTCAAGTTGAATTCATCTTTGAACTCCCGCGGTGGCGAATCCGCGGCTGATCTGGCCGATAATTTGTCCTTTCCTGTTATTTTTTTGAATGTTTGCTTTCATTTTCCTTTTTTTCTTATTTATTTCTCAGCGATTCATCTGAATAAGTACAAACAAGTGCCCACGAGCGCCCTAGACAGCCTGCGGTGGCGGGGCTACAGAATGCGGCGAGATGCTTCTCCAGGCGAGAGGCAAGCAGCAAGCATACTGGATCGTTTGTCTCTTTCTTTTTTCACAGTGGGGCTGGGCCTCGTTGTGTTGGCAGCAGGACTGTCAGCAAAGAAGAAAAGATGTGGGAAGCAGCAGCGCCTTCCGCTGCATCAGCTGACGGGCGCAGACGCGGAAGCAGCAGCAGAGCCGAACGCGGCAAGAGCAGCAGCAGCAGCAGAAAGGGCAGCAGCGGCAGCAGCAGAAAGGGCAGCAGCAGCAGCGGCAGAAAGGGCAGCAGCAGCAGCAACGGCAGCAGCAAAAGCAGCGCACGCAAAGGCACCGGATAGTGCGCTGTCAGCACCGGCAGTGACGCCCTCAGCAAGGATGCAAACAGGAGCAGCAGCACCAGGAGCAGCAGCAGCACAAACTGCAGCAATTTCAGCAGCAGAAACAGGGCCAGAGCCAGAAGACACGTCGATGCCGATAATATATGAAGTGTCTGTGGTAGCAGCAGCACGAAGAAGAGCGCCAGCAGCAAAAGCAAAGCCAGGAGAAGCCACAACATCAACTGCAGCAGCTCCAGCAGCAACAGACACGCTGCCAGCAGCAGCAACGCAACCACCAACAGCTGCAGCAGCAGAAGACACACCAGCAGCAGCAGCAGCAACACCAGAAACGCCACCACCAGTGGCATCACTGGCTCGAGAAGCAGCAGCGCCGACAGCAGCAGCAGCACGACTCGAAGCAGCAGCACACGTAGCAGCAACAGCACAACTAGCAGCAGCAGCACAGCTGGCAACAATGGTAATGGCGTCAGCAGCAGTAAACGAAGCAACAAAGCAAGCAGCAGAAGCAGCACCAGCAGCAGATGCGGCGCTTGCAGTAGCAGCACTAGCAGCAGCAGCAGCAGCAGAAGCAGCATCACTTGGTGCAGCAACGTCAGCAGCAGAAGCACCGCCAGCAGCAACATCAGCAGCAGAAGCAGCAGCAACAGGAACTGCAGCACTAGCTGCGGCAGCAACAGCAGTGACAGAAGCAATAGAGGCAGCAGCAGAAGCAGCAGCAGCATCACAAACGGATGAAGAGAAAGCAGCAGCAGCGTTAGCAGCGGCCGCGTTAGCAGCAGCAGCAGCAGAGATGCCGCCAGCGGCACCTCGAGAAGCAGCAGAACCAGCAGCAGCACTGCCAGCAACAGCAAAAGACCCAGAAGCCACAGCAGCAGCAACGCCACCAGAGCGACACGCAGCAGAGGAAACACAACCAGCAGCAGCAACACAACCAACAGCAGCAGCAGCAGCAACACAACCAACAGCAGCAGCAGCAGCAACACCAGAAATGACAGACGAAGCAGAGGCAATACAACCAGCAGCAGCACCAGCAGCAACACCACCACTAACAGCAGCAGTAGCAGCAACACCAGCAACAACACCAGAAACGACAGACGAAGCAGAGGCAGCACAACCAGCAGCAGCAACATCGCCAGCAGCAGCAGCAGCAGCAACACCAGCAACAACACCAGAAACGACAGACGAAGCAGAGGCAGCACAACCAGCAGCAGCAGCACCGCCACCAGGAGCAGCAGCAGCAACACCAGCAACAACACCACAAACGAAAGACGAAGCAGAGGCAGCACAACCAGCAGCAACACAACCAACAGCAGCAGCAGCAGCAACACAACCAACAGCAGTAGCAGCCCCAGCACCAGCAGCAACACCAGGAACGATACACGGAGCAGAGGCAACACAACCAGCAGCAGCAACACAACCAACAGCAGCAGCCGCAGCAACACAACGAACAGCAGCACCAGCACCAGCAGCAACAGCAGAAACGATGCACGGAGCAGAGGCAACACAACCAGCAGCAGCAACACAACCAACAGCAGCAGCAGCAGCAACACCAGAAACGACAGACGAAGCAGAGGCAATACAACCAGCAGCAGCAACACAACCAACAGCAGCAGCAGCAGCAACACCAGCAGCAACACCAGAAACGACGGACGAAGCAGAGGCAATACAATCAGCAGCAGCAACAGAACCAACAGCAGCACCAGCGCCAGCACCAGCAGCAACACCAGAAACGACACAGGCAGCAGAGGCAACACAACCAGCAGCAGCAACACAACCAACAGCAGCAGTAGCAACACCACCAACAACAGCAGCAGCAGCAACACCAGGAACGACAGACGAAGCAGAGCCAACACAACTAGCAGCAGCAACACAACCAACAGCAGCAGCAGCAGCAACACCAGAAACGACACAGGCAGCAGAGGCAACACAACCAGCAGCAGCAACACAACCAGCAGCAGCATCAGCAGCAACACCAGCAGCAACACCAGAATCGGCACACGAAGCAGAGGCAACACAACCAGCAACAGCAACACAACCAGCAGCAGCAGCAGCAACAACACCACCAACAGCAGCACCAGCAGCAACACCAGCAGCGACACCAGCAGCAACACCAGAAGCGACCCACGCAGCAAAGGCAACACAACCAGCAGCAGCAATACCGCCAACAACAGCAGCAGCAGCAACACCACCAACAGCAGCAGTAGCAGCAACACCAGCAGCAACACCAGCAGCAACACCAGGAACGACGCACGCAGCAGGGGCAGCACAACCAGCAACAGTAACGCCAGCAGCAGCAGCAGCAGCAGATGCACCACATCGAGAAAGAACACTGACAGCAACAGCAACATTGGCAGCAGCAGCACATGTAGGAGCAACGGTGGCGGAAACAGCAACAGCACCAGCAGCAGCAGTACCACCAGGAGCCCCACCAACAGTAGCAGCAGCAGCTGTACCACCAGAAGCACCAGCAGCAGCAGCAGTACCACCAGAAGCACCAGCAGCAGCAGCAGAACCACCAGAAGCACCAGCAGCAGCAGTAGCAGCCCCACCCAAATCCAAGCCAACAGCAGCAGCAGAAACAGAACCTGCAGAAGCAACAACAACAGATGAAGAAGAAGCAGCACCAGCAACACCGACAGAAGCAACACCACCGGCAGCAGCAGCGCCACCAGCGGCAGCAGCAGCAGCAGCAGCAGCGCCACCAGCAGCAGCAGCAGCAGCAGCAGCGCCACCAGCAGCAGCACAGCCGCAGCAGCGGAGGAGAGGGTAAAACGCTGCAGCGGGCGAACACCCAAGAGAAGCCGCAGCAGCAGCAACAGCTGCAGCATCCGCACGGGCAGGAACAGAAGCAGCAGCAGGAGACAGTGAGCATTTGCTGCAGCACTTGACTTGCTTCCCTCCTTTGTTTGCACTTTGATTTATTTGCATGCTTAGCAGCAGGGAAGGGCCCGTTCTATTCTTTCATTATTTTTGTTGCCTTTCGTGCATGCATAATCTGCCTTCTGAACGCATGCATGCGTTTTGCATGCATGCGCCTGCAAAACGCATGCATGCGTTTTGGGGCTTTCTAGTTCTCGGGGCGCTGCATGCAGTTCCTTCAGGTGTATGTACAGTTTGGAGACCCACGCCCGCCGGGGCAGCCAGTTCTTTCGACTTCGACTTTTCACTTTTCTTCATTTGAAGTTCAAATGCCATTCTTCTCCACTGCAGCAAGCCAACAACCCGGGGCCCCCCGCAGCAGCTAGCAGCAGCAATTAAGCAAACACAACCCACTTCCGGCGCTTTGGGGCCCCCTGTGGGGCCCCAAA